ATGTATGTATATATATATATATATATATATATATATATATATATATATATATATATATATGTATGTATATATATATATATATATATATATATATATGTATATATATATATATGTATATATATATGTATATATGTATGTATATATATATATTTAAATTTTATAATATATAAAATATTGATTTGATGGTGGATAGTAATGTAATTATTGAGGGTTCAAAAATATGGTTATTAATTAAATTTTCTCTTCATCACTTCTGAGTTATGTAATATATATATATATATATATATATATATAATTTATTATATTTTGTGAAAGCAATTTCTTATGCCATCAGTGTATAATTACAATTTCTTTTAGTTTGTATGTCAAAATTATCTAAAAATAAATGGAAAAGAGGATTGATGCAAGTGACACTGCTTGCTTTGCATGTAAATATACTGTGATTGCTCTCTCAAATTGACATTAATTCCCTTTGCAAACTCATCACGCTAAAAATATTAGAAGTATTTTAGTTATTTTATATAATTACATTTTTTTAATTCAAATTAATGTTTAATATTCGGATATTATGATATATGCATATGTATGTATGTATATAGTTTTATAAGGATAGAAAAGCTATTTTCAAACTCATTAGGGGTATATATGTCAAAGAATCTCAACCTGACTTGTAACCCGCCGAACGTAAACCCGTTAGTTAATAAACGAGTCGGATCCGAATTGAGATATTGTTCCCACATGTGGTTTGGGTCGGGTTCGGGTTCGGGTTCGGGTTCGGCCATCCATATATATATGAACCAATCATGATCTGTGCTAAACTACTAAAATACCCTCTCAAAACCCTAGCTGAAGACACGGCATGCTTCCTTCTTGCGTTCCCAAATCCCTCCTTTTCTCCTTCGAAATCCCACCGCGCTCCACAGATTCTTGATTGATCTCAATCGCTATCCTTCTTGTTGCGCCGCTGTCGTCACAGATTCGAGGGTGAGGAGAGGGCAAATGGAGCAGAGATTGGCGAGCACCTGGCGGATGACAGTCAACGAGAGGAAGTTTGTGGAGACCGCGCTCGCTTCCGACCTCCGTGTTGACGGCCGCCGCCCGTTCGACTACCGCCGCTTGACCATTAAGTTCGGCAGGTCCGTTCCCGTCTACGGCTTCACTGCTTCGGTTACGTCTTTGGATTAGCTGCACTGTCGCTTGTTATGATGTTCTTTGATTGTGGATTACTTTAGTTTATTATATTGCGTTGTCATGATACATGATGCTGTATCTTACTCTTGGCAATGCAAAGAATGGACCTTGAGTTGCAGCCGACGTGTTATCAAGGAGTTGGCTCCACGAATTTTGAGAAATGTTGGATTTTGGATGTTAATTGATCAGTCTGTGCCTGATGATTTTGTTCTATTAATGATGTTTTAAGGTTCGATATTTGGTATTATATGTAGCCTCGACATAAGTATCATAGCGAATGTAAGACAGCAGACGCATAGAATCAAACAAAAGCAAGATTAAAGCTCATGTTCTAATGTGCGTCATCTTTATGAGTTGGATATTGGTATATTGGTAAACCAAGTGTGTTATGCTTTCGACATCCCTGAATCAAACAGCAAACCACGGTATGTTTAAACAACAGCAAGATGAAAGCTCATGTTCCAAGCTATTCTAAATTTAAGGATATTGCTGCTTTCAGCATTGACTTTGCTTGTATTGATCAACATACATATACCAATGCGTAGAGAACAACCTCATATCCAGATGATTTGTCTGTATTGTGCTTAATAGATATTGTGTTGCAGTATATCACATCACTCCCTTATGTAAGTTTTAAGTAATTGTTTGATTGTTGTTTCATTTGCAAGATGAAAGCTCATGTTCCAATATGCATTTAGCAACACTAAAAAATATTGACTTCGGATAATTGTATTATTAAGTGTGTTTTTTTTTCATCAACAGAGAAGATGGTTCTTCAGAGGTGCAACTAGGTCAGACTCATGTTATAGGCTTTGTGACTTCTCAGCTGGTGCAACCTTATCGAGATAGACCAAACGAAGGGACTCTTTCTATATTTACTGAATTTTCACCAATGGCTGATCCTTCTTTTGAGGCAGGGCGCCCTGGTGAATCTGCTATCGAACTTGGTCGCGTCGTGGATCGTGGTCTTCGGTTAGTTCTTTTTATAATATAGTTGTTCCATGTTTCACGTGCCAACACATAGTCAAGATCTTACCTTCATATATTTTATGAACTTATATGCTTGTTACTGAGGCAGAGAAATTATTGATCCTTCAGTCATGCATCATTCAACTTATCTAGCATTTTCTGATGAACTGTAAAATTATCGCAGGGAAAGTAGGGCTGTGGATATGGAGTCATTATGTGTTGTTGCAGGGAAATCAGTGTGGTCCATTCGTGTGGATCTCCATATTCTTGATAATGGAGGGTAATAAATGTTCTTGTTTGAACATCCTTTTTAACATCTGTTTGTTGTTGATAATCTGAATCTTCTCTTTCTGATAATTTAGGAATCTCATCGATGCTGCCAATATTGCTGCTTTGGCTGCTCTATCGACATTTCGCAGACCTGAATGTACATTAGGAGGAGAAAATGGTCAGGACATTATTGTTCATGACCCCGAGGTCAAGTCATATGACATTTTTCCTTGGCTACGTTGTTTGCTCTAACTTGGATCACCACCTGTTGGCTTAAAATAAATGTAGAATCTGACCATAATTTGGTGTTGTCAGTTGGCCTTTTCTTTCTGTTTCCTGAAAGCAGTGTATGCATACACACATACACAGTCTGCATAGCTTATGTATATTCATGTTTTTTTAATAGTTTACTTTGAAAATGACCGCTTATGTTAGCAAGAAGTATGACTGAAATCTATTTTCTTCTCATATCTCTACAGGTTATGGAGCCACTCACATTGATAATTCATCATCTTCCTGTAGCAGTGACCTTTGCTTTTTTTAGTGAGGGTAACATCATGGTATTGTGAAAGTAACTTCATAAAGAACTTGCAATTTTTGTTATAAAATTTTGTTCAGTGAGTTGTTCAATCATGTTCTGGCTTCGAGTTTGACCTAGAATTTTATCTTTTCCAGGTGATTGATCCAACACATAAAGAAGAGGTTGTTATGGGAGGAAGAATGACTGCTACAGTGAACTCAAATGGTGATGTTTGTGCGGTTCAAAAAGCTGGCGGAGAGGGTGTGACACCAAACATGATTATGCAGTGCTTACGAATTGCTTCTGTGAAAGCTGCTGATATCACAAGTAAAATAAAGAATGCAGTGAGTTGCATAAAAATTTAGGTTGCTTTCGACTTTTATGGTTGTATGGTTTATAATGTTGCTCCTTATGGGTTTCTTTTTCTGTTCTGGCTATGATATACATATGTAGCTTTGTTCTAACCTTTTTGTCTCGTGATTTTCTTATGATAAGCATTCTGGGCATTGAAGAACCTGGAAAAGATTGTTATTTGAGTCACTTATGAATAGTTTTTATAGATGAGAATCATGAGATATTTAATACAGAGCTTTGTTCTTGTGGATTGTCAAAATAATCAGCTTTGTTTGGATGTTTCTTCTTTAAAACATGAACATGAAACCATTCTGTTTGTAGATAATATTTATTGAAGCCATACAACTTGAAAATGCCAAATTCTGGAAACACTAATGTACAGTTTTTTAGAGTGTGTCATTCACTAGAATCCAAGATGATGGTATCCTGTGTAGCAGTGTGTGACAAACCGACGAAAGTCATAGGAAGGTAGAAACAAAATTCAAGGACTAATTTGTCTATTAGCTTATCCTTCTTTATGGATTTGCATTTTAATCTCTAGCTAAACCAAATTATGAAAGGGTCCTTACAAATTTTATTTTTAGGAAAATCACATAAAAATTAAAATGCATGGATGTGGTACATTAAGTGTTGACTGTCAGTTTTTTTGTTTGGAATTTAAATGATTTTAGTCTCCATCATATTAGATGTTACAGTTGTATGTACAGTCTTAACTAGATATGCCTTTTCTGCTCAGCATGCTTATGAATACAAATTAGATCAAAGATCTTTGAAGATTGACAGATAACAGAACCTTTTTTTTAAGGATTTTGTTTGCCAATTATCTTGTTTTCTGACTTATAGTTCAACTGTACTTGTTGACCAGCAAGTGCAATCCAAGAGAACAGTGATGACAACCAGGCCTAGTCCTAGTCCCAAATATGTAGCTTAACCCAAGTGATTAAAGGCTTGATTTTGTTATTAGAGATTGTTGTTTCTGATAATAATTTCTCAATGATCAAGAATGCTTCAGATGAAGCAAAACACCCATCTTTACCAGAACATTGAACTTGTTTACCTTCATGTGAACAAAGTCATCTGCTTAATATGGTTGGTACACTCTCGTTCATTGGTAAGAAAATTTACTAAAGAATTTTCCAGGTAGAGACATACAATACTGAGAGAACGTTACGGAAGGTTAAGCGTCATTCATCGACAGTGACACAACAAGTTAGTGTTCCAGATGTTATCATGAAGGACAAGCAAGCCGAGAATATAATAAGACATCAAGAAGAAATGATACAACATGAACCGGACAGAAGCTCCAATTGTGATGATGAAATGACAGTTGATACTAGGACATGTATAAAGACAGAGAGCAACCGCAAAGACAGATGCACTGATCCATTTGTTGGTGGCCCTTCAAATTGGTAATATTGTGGTGTAGTTGCACTTTGTTTGTTATATGAAACAATTAAGTTTTGTAATTGAACAAGAACATGAATAAATGCTCTATTCTGTTTGCAGGGACCCATATCTGAATAAACTTTCTTCAAATTTAGTTGGAAAATCTCAAGATTTACTTGGTATGGTTTCATATGTATAAACATGCTCCTCTACATCTTTTTGTTGCTTTGTTTTAACCTTTTGTGCATCTTTGTAAGTTGTAAATGTTAGCTTATATAATCTTTTTATCTTTCAAGATTCATAGTCTGAAAAACTTTGGAATAATTTATTTGGTAATTTTATCTCCTAGTTCTGCATGCAAACTAGCTTAGTTTGGATGTTTCTGGAATTTGTTGTTGTCTTATATTTGAGATTTAATTTGTGTGCTACAAGTGGATGAACATTGCATTATTTTTCATGTTTCATTCATAGAACTCGATTTCTGGCAGAGAGTACAGGTGGTAGCAATGATAGTTTTGAGCAACTAATAATGACAGGTGGTAGGCATAGAAGTATTGTACTGATTGATGAGTGAATACCAGTACACAAAGATTATGGATATAGAGAAGACAGCAGGAACTTACGATAAATGGAATAAGATTGGTTTTTATTTTCTGTCCAGATGATAGGATACCAGTCAACAGATTAAGGATATAGAGAAGATAGCAGGAACTTATGATAATGGAACAAAATTGGTTTTGATTTTTTTATCATAATACAATGCTTTATATAAGTAGAATATAGACAAAAGTCTTATTCTTTTTGGCTATCAAACTCAGCTCATCTTTCTCCTAGCTCTGGATTAGCTGTTGAATGAATACAGCAATATGGCCACACAAGAAAAGTTGGTGTTTTCGGTGTTAACTAGTGAAATTACTCTTAGCAGAGCTCACTGGTGAGAAAGCATATATATGCATCTGACTTCAAACAGTTGGCAACTATGGCTACTTGTCCTCCTGGGTGTTGATATCCACGATTTCTGTTTTGCAACCATTTGGATGAGAGTTAATATCAACATAAATGCCGATAAGCAATTAAGTTCTTTTAAAAAAAAACCCTTCGCCTATCTGCTTTTACGGCACAATTGTCTATCTTTAAGTTGTCTCTCCCTAGGATTTAACTCCAAGTATGGCCTGATAATTAAGGCAATATGGCCTGTCTTGCTTGGTTTTATGTTTCTGCTTAATTGTGGATAATTTTCTTGTGTGTTGGCAAGTTGTTAAAGTTTTTGCTGTAGTTTGCAACAAATCACTTTTCGAACATGCAGGTCCTTTAACGATTAGTAAGGAACAACAAGAAGAATCAAAAAGCAACAAAATGGCAGTCGAGAACAGTCCTGAGCATGCAACAATATCTTCTAATTCTGAAACACTTGGAGTTTCAGGGCCGAGGCAGCAAACTGATGTTGCAAAGAGTTTGAAAGATGCTGTCAAGTCAAAAGCTAGAAAGAAGAGCAAAACATCTGCTACTACCAGTTGAACTAGATCTGTGCAGATGAACCACCGAATGCAGTGCCTTTTAATGTCGGTTTCAAGCCCTGTTGATGAATTTTGTAGGAACTTTATCTGTTGTCTCCTTAATTACCGACTTGATTTTTGTTGTGAAATGTACCAAATAACATTGATATCGGTAGGATAGAGAGCTACTTTGGTTGCCACGGGTATGTACCTGAAGCTTCCTAGGATCTCAATTCATTGTGTTGGCAAATGTATACATGTCTCTTGAAATTTTAGGCCTCTGAGGGAGCCACTTAAACTGGTAGTGATGTCCTTGTGTGCTCTTGGTTGAAAAGTGTATTTTCATGAATGCATAATCTCAAAATATCACCATTTTTGTCAATCGAGAGTGCAATTTAATTAATATCTGGACATGCCACATTAGCAAAGTATGTAAGAGGAATAAGTTTTCAGTGTGCAGAACGAACAAATGTGTGCTAACTTGATATACAAATATTTGAAAATATTATATAAATACTGAATGTTTTATGGACTTTTAATGTTCGAAATGTATGGAGCCATATTTGTTAGGAAAACTTTGATGTAGGTTTTTAAGCAAGAAAAGAGGAGAATTTAAAGAAGGGATATATGCATTTCTTTAGCCTTCTAAATCTTAGATGTGTTTCTCTGATGTTTTCTTCCCAACATGATAGTACTTTTCGCTGAGTTGATATATGCTATAGACTGTTTGCTGTGTGTGGTTGTCTTTTTGGTTTGGAATGCATTTATTATATATATATAT